AGCAGCAGTCTGGGGTCGCCTTCAGGGAAAGGCACCGGGTTTACCTGCATGACTATCTCGTTGGGTAACTGCGCGGCGCGGAAAAGCTCCAGGACCCGCCCGTTGGACGCCACTTTCTTGGTGCTCTCCGTGTCGCAGTAGGAGAAGAGGTCGCAGTAATAGCGCTGCTCCGTTTCACTCAGCGTTAAACCCTCCATCTTACACCGGCCTTGCCTTGCCCTGCCCCGGGGATCGATCCTCCAACGGGGTGGAGTGAAGGAGGGAGCGGGGCCGCGCTCGCACGCGCGAAGCCGCCGCCGCCTCCTCCTCCTCGCGCCAGCAGCGGCCGGGGAGGAGGGGGGAGGGCGAAGGAGGCCTTCCGCAAAAAAAAAAAAAAAAAAAGAAAGGAATGAGAGCGCGTGCGTGTGTGTGTGTGCGCGCGCGCGCCTTTCGGCTGTCGCTTGTTGATCTCTCGCCGCGAAGCTGCCTGCCCGACAAGAGTTGCGGAGGAAGGTTCCAATCCAGAGGAAGCCCGACGACAGGGGGGGGAGGAGGGGGCGTGGCCGCGCGTGCAAAGCGGGGGGGGGGTGAGCGCCCAGCGATGTGAGTCGGTCAAAGTCTCCTAATAAAGTTTCTGTACGTTTCCCTTCCGTGCCTTTGGCCACGCCCATTTCCCCTCCCTCGGGCTCTCTGGGGAAGGCGCGCGCAACCAAGGGGCGGACGGATTTAATTCCGCTCCCGGAAAAGGAGAAGAAAGGGGACAAGAAAGAAAAAAAAAAGGCTGCCCGAGATCTCGCGCACGAGACCCGGATGCGAAGCTGTGAGGTGGTTTAGCTCTTCGCTCCGCTTTCTCATACGACAGAAGCGTTCGGGAGGGTTGGAACAGAGAAAGAGAGGCGCTACACCGTCCTCTGTCGGTCTGGAGGTCTGCTACAGTGTTCCTGAGTACTGTAGCACCCTGTGGATGTCTAAATTTTGGAACTTGCTGGTACGATCAGTTGAAAATGAAACAAGAATATCTTTAATGGAGTTTGCTGGGGATGACTGGTTTTCCTACTCTGGGGATGATAGGAACTGTAGTCCAACATAAGTGAAGGACACCAGATTAAAGAATATATTTATTGTTGATTTGTTATACTCCACCTGGCAATACCTTATCAAAAACGCTTGACTAAACAACACAGAATATTAAAAAGTAAAGGCCTATATTTAAATTTAACAAAAGACTGACAAAAAAGATGTGGCTTTACAGATTTTTCTAAATATAAAGTACAAATAAAAAGTGATACCCACAAGAGGATGTTGCCTTCTGTTTACACCCAAGCTGTTTACTTGGCAAAAGGTACCAAAGTGATTTGCCATGGATTTCTGGGATGTTTTCCAATTTCCTAATCTACCTGACGGTCCTGATGTTGCCTGGCAGTTTCTCATTCAAATTTTAACCACATTTGATCTTGCTTAAGTTGAGCTTTTTAAAAGCTTGTTTGGGTGCTGCCACTAGAGACAAATAGAGCTCCTACAGTATTTTTCACATCTTGCGGGCAGCACAGAAGGCCTTATTCCATATGCCAGAAAGACTGACCTCTGATTATTGTGCAAGGGTATTTTCAAAAGTCCATCTGCTTCAAAAGTTAACAGCCAGAGAAGAAAGGAAGGAAGAGGCAGTTTCTTAGATCAGAGGTTTCCAATTTATTTCAGGCCACTGAATCTATTTTTTAAAATCCCTGGGATCCCTTATTGAGAGGAATGGGACATTTGGATGTCAGAGGATAAGCCCTGATCTTTCCAATATAACTTAGAAAAATTGCTATAGATATGCCTTAAAATCAGTATTGAGGCAGATATACACAGCTGAGCACCTTAAAATTTTCTTTCCCTAGGGAACCAACCCTAAATATGGTCAGTTTTTCATACCTCGATACTATTTTTCCAGAGCAACTTTTCTATGAAAGGTAAAATCCCTCTACACAAGAGACTAATGGGGGGAAAACATCCTCCCTACAAGGATCTATGTTTAGGTCTTTTTGTGGAGCTCTTTTCTCAGCCCCACAGAACCCATTTAACTTCTCATGGAACCTAGGATTCCATAGAATCCAACCTGCAAAACCTCACCTTAGATAGGGAGATATATGAACCAGTACAAGGGAGGCCATTGATGGCATGCATGATAGTGTCATCATACAAATGCTGCAATTTGTATTAGGCATTGGACATTAGTATATAGTGACATTTGCCTGGTCAATTTAATTTTGTTTGGAGATATCATGTACAGGTATTTGATTTATGATCCTTTCTTCAGACTGACGTTACAATGATGAACAAAGTGTATGGTTAAGTTATGGCTACTGCTGTACCCCTACATCATGTGATCAAAATGTGCTTACTTGGCAGCCTGCCTGCACTTATAACAAGGGCTTTGTAGTTCCCACCTTCCCTCTACTTATGCCATTTTGCTGCCCGTTCTTCACCACCTCAGCCTATCTTCACTATTTTCTTCCAGTTGCTGGTGAGGCATGCCCAGTCTAGCTGCTGAATCAGTGAATGAAAGTCAACACCAGCTAAAGAACTGGCAGCTGTGATTTTATGTTGTGGATATAATAACTTAAATTTATAATGCCTCACAACTCTCATTAATGAAATTAATTTTGACTTTTTTTCTTCCAGGTGGTTTTCTATTAAACATTGTTAAAGCTTATATTCCTACCAGGTTGTAGAGGAATCTTGAGCAGTTAAAAAGAAAAGTTCCTTTCAACTGGTTCCACCCTATCAGCAATTCAAGCCTTTTCACTCTCCACCTCAACTCTGCTTAAGATTCCAGCAAAAACATATACAGACTTGGTTCTGTATATAATAACAGTTCCTAAGACACTTTATGCTTCTTACTAATATTACACATCATTCCTTCTTTAGAGTTTAATTTAAATTAGGAACCATTTATGCACCACAGGTAGTCCTTGACTGTATGCAATTTTTTTTACTACCGGTTCTGTAGGCATGGCTAGGTGGGTGTGGTGTGGCTTGGTGGGTGTGGCAGGGGCAGAATACTGCAAAATCTCCATTTCCACCCCACTCCAGGAGAAGGATACTGTAAAATCCCCACTCCTTCTCACCCCACTGACCTGCTTTCTAGCTCCATTCTCCTGTGCAGGGCAACAAAAGAAGACCCACCCAATCAGCTGGGACTCAGGAGGCAGGAATAGATGGGGGCAAGGCCAACCAAAGGTGGTATTTACCAGTTCTTCCAACTACTCAAAATTTCACTACTAGTTCTCCAGAACTGGCTGAATATCACCTCTGGACCATTCCTTTAGTAATTAAAGGTACAACCATGCTAAAAAAAAATGACCTGTCCTTGAACATACAGCAGTTGCAGAGCCTCAGTTATGTGATTACCATTCCCAACCTTCCCAGCTTACACGCATACCCTCTCCTTCTCCCTCCCCCCCTCTACACACACACATACTTAGTGTTTTATAGTGGTTAAAGTGCTTAGTCTATGAGCAGAAAGACCCAGTTAAGATTAGTAACATTTAAGAGAATCTGGCTTTGTCATTGATTTTGCTTGTAGGTTGTAAAAGGTGATCACATGATCACTGCATACAAATACATGCCAGTTGCCAAGCATCTCAATTTTGATTACATAACCTTGGGGGTGCTGCAGTATAAAAGTATAAAAACTCACAAGTCATTTTTTCAGTACTGTGATAGTTTCAGAGGGTCACTAAATAAATGATTGTAAATTGAGAACTACCTGTATCGTGAAGGAATCTTAGGATACAGCCATCATATCTCTATAATGTTAAGGTGCCATTGCCTCGCTAGTTGCTTTTTAAGGAGGTATATCCTTTTATCTTTGGGGTTTTCATTCTATTGGAGATATATTTTCCACCTTCCCTCTATACAAACCAAGCTGAAGGCATGATCTGGCTCTTGGTCAAGCAACCACTATAATGAAGTGGCAAGAACTGAAATGTGTCTAGCAACTTTTGACTGCTGTGTGCATGCTACCTTTCCAGTCAGTTGATTTTCTTCCATGGCTGTTCCAGTTTGTGCTACTTAACTAACATGACCACAGGAGAAAAGCAGCAGCAGCAGCATAACTAAAGAAAAATGTGATCAGGTTTCTTTTAAACAACCTGCACATCGCTTTCAGACCCATGGGATATAAGCTGTTTTTGAAAGTTTGTGTTCTGCAATATTGCTTCCTCTAGCTGTAGTGGGGCTGCTCTAATAATCAGCTTGCCTTTCAGACACAGTATCATATAGGTCAACAAATGCCTTTAGAGAGATTCTGGTTTAATCTGCTATCGCTAAAGCAGCACCATGGTTACTTGAGAATGTGTAGACTAAGTAAAGTTAACCTGTCAATTGGGGTTTTTTTCTGCAATGGTCAGACAACTAGGTCTCACAAAATTCGCAAGAGCAGCACCTAAATGCAATGGTTTTGACAGGTAGATAAATTTACTGCTCTAAACATTTGTAAAACTCATCCCCACCCCGCTCATATCTTGAGAAGTGACTGAAATCCAATTACTGGACCTTAATACATCCTGCAGTGAACTGTTAGGACATTACTGTACCCTATTTGCCGTCCCCCTTACTAGACAGAATATAAACTGGCAAAATAGGAGCTAATTATGGTAGCCTGCTTTTAAAAACCCTATGGAAAGACATATATGTTCAATGGCTGCAGTCCTGATGCTGGGGCAAAAGAACTCCATCAGACTCATGAATGTTTATCGTTTAAGGACTCCAGGGAGGTGGCTGGTTAACAAATATTACAACGAGGCGATTTCAACCTTCTGCCATCTTTTCTGATCTAGGAGAGGTTGACTGACACCTGCAAGTCACTTAACGAGGCTGCATCAGGTCATGAGCACACAGGTGTGACCTAGCCCTGTTCTAATCATTGGCGTTTTCCCACTTGGCAAACGGAGCTTATTTTCAGGTGCCATCGGTTTAACCAAGCCTCGATCTTAACCCCTGGCCTCCCCAGAAGCGTTTGCTACAGGCGTGTGGGCGGCACCTCGCCTTCCGCTCACTTTCAGTCTCGAGCGGGGGGAGGGGGGAAGGTTGGTCACAGATTTCCTCCTCCTGACACTCTTTCCGAGCCACCCTTTGCTTTGAACGCCGCTCCTTCGCTTCTCTGGAGGTAAGTCTATGGAGGTGAGCTGGAGAGGGCATCCGCAGTCAGGCGACCGACGCGCAGGAGGACGGCAGGGCAAAAATCGCAGGGTGCCCCCCGCCTCCCTCCGTGCAGCGGACTGCGGGGAGCCGCGGAGTTCAAAGTCCGCTTCGTGGAGCTCTTGTTTCCGAGCCGGGGTTTGAGCCGAGGCTCTTTGTCAGGGCGGAGGGAAGGCGAGGTGGCGGCAGCCGGCACTTCCGCGCCGGCGCCATGTGATCCTCCACGCGGATGGAAAGGGCAGGAGAACGCACCTTGGAGGTGGGGGGAGTCCTCGGGTCCGAGAACGCTTCTCGCCGGCGATTGCTGGTGGGCGAAGGGGGTTTATCCCAGGCGGTCGCGGCTGATATTCTGCTTTGCGCAATTGGCCAGCGGGAGGGCTGCCTGCAGCCCTAGTATTGCTTACAGCTGGGACGGGAGCCCTTATCGAGACGAAGAGGCTTGCTTCCGGAGAAGCAGGCTTGTTTGGGGAGGGGTGGGGGTGGGAAATCGGGTTATTTATCCCATTGTTTGCCCGGCCGTTGTACCTGCGCCCTTTCCCTTTCTTAGCCCCGCCAGTCGTCTTTAACGCAAAACGGTTCGCGCTCCCCTCCTTTGGCAAGTTGCGCTTCCCTCGCCTGCCTTCTCTGCCCGCCTCTGAACGCGGGAAACCCGAGGAGCGCACAGGAACAGGTGGAAAGCTGTTCTGTCGAGGAAGGGAACCTAACAGCGAGAAAGATGGCAGAGAAAGACCTTCAACTTGCTGAAAGCTTTCATTAGCTGAATACCGAAGCTTCCCTGGACCACATTGGAGCCATAGAGCCGTTAAAGCATCAGGCTTGAAGACCAGTTTTAGTCCTGCCTCGGACATGAAGCCAACTGGGTGCCCTTGGGCCAGTCATTCCCTCTCAGCCCTAAGAAGCAGGCAATGGCAAATCACTTGTGAAACCTTACCTAGAAAATTGCCTCACACACAAACACACATGTGACCAAATTAGGATGTGTGTTGCACCAGAGAGGAAATTACTCATCATGCTCTTCTAATCCTAGTTGCAAACAAAAGAATTAAAAAAATGAATATATTCCTAAGCCATGAAGCCAATGAAAAGTCTCAGATTCCTTTCTCTCCTGTAATAAATGTAAAACACTATTGAAAATTAATTAGGCACTCACATATCCTTGCTTGCCATTCATATTCATTTGGGAGAAGGAAGCATCTTAAGTCAGGATTCAGTTACACTTGAACAAAAAACATTCCCTTAACATTTGAAATAATATGCACACTTAAGTAATTATCACTTCCTTCCTCATCTCTGCTGTTTGAAGTGAAATATGTTTGTTCACTGTGGTAATAACTTCCCATACTTTGTATGGAACTATAGGAGCTTGCCTGCCTGGGCTGCAGTCATACAAGTTTCTTAGGTGTAACTCCCATCAAACTTAATGAACTTCTCATTAGACATGCATATAAAATGTCAATGTTGGGACCTCATTTTTTTTAAAGACAGCTTCTTGTGGTTTTAGTGAAAAGACTTGTAGGAGAGATGTGTTAGACCAAGGGTCTTCAAACTTGGCAAGTTTAAGATTTGTGGACTTCAGCTCCCAGAATTCCTGAGTAACATGACTGGAGGAGGAATTCTGGGAGTTGAAGTCCACAAGCTGTCAAGTCGGAAGACCTCCCTGTTTAGACTGACAGCCAAAACCCAGGTGGAGTCTGCATTTTTTTCTGATTAACTGAATATTGACATTTTCTGAAGATAACTATGCAGCAGTTCTCCTATGTGGGTGGATCTCTGCACAGATTTTGTGTAGTCTGTCAGGAAACTGCCATTGGTTAGCAAAATAAAAAATCCCTATTTGCTTGAACTAGTTTATATAAATGGAACATTATCTTGCAATGCTGTTTGATATACAAAGATTTTGAAGAGGTGGTACTTTGGCAGAGTCTGGATGCTACGGTAGATACCAATTTGTTTATGATACTATACCACTTTTGAGATGGGCTTTATTAATAGGTTTACAAAACTGTTAGCAACCATTGGAAGTTACAACAGCAGTGAAAAAAATAAAGTTACAATTTGTACTTATGAACTTTATAGCCTTCCCATTATTGTACATGATCAAAATTAGAGTGCTTGGCAACTGTCATTATTTACAATGGATCCAGCATCCCAAGGTCATGTGTTTGCTGCTTGCAACCTTCCCAGCTGGCTTCCGACAATCATAGTCAATGAGGAAAGCCAGATTAGTATACTGACTGCATTCTTCATTTACAACTGCAGTGATTTGCTTAACATGGCAAAAAGGTCATAAAATCAGGCATGACTCACTTTAACAACTGCAAAGCAACTGAAATTCTGGGGCTGATTGTAGTTTTAGATTGAGGACTACTGTAGAAGTCTGTTGAAGAAAGCTAGTTAAAAGGAGTGGCAACTTTTAAGTTGTGCTTTCATTTAGTCATGGTGAAATTTTGTTGAAATTCTGGTAATTTAGTGTATTATATAAAAAGGTAGTTCTTTTTTCCAAATGAGTTGTACTTTAAAGTAGAAAAATAATCTTGGATTTGGTCTGCAAACAGCAAAAGAGGCAGACAAGGATTTTTTTTTTATTCAAATTCCATTTAAGAAGGTGAAAGGGAAGAATCACCTTAAATGCTGGACCATGTGCTTGTCAGAGAAATGTAGTACTTTAAATAATTGTTATGCAATTATTTTGCAATATAAAGGCATTTAAAATGCTAGAATGTTTAACACGAGTAAATGCTTTACAGGTACCACGTGCATTTTAAGACTTTCCTTTGCAGAATGTGCAACGATGTATCTGACTTCCAAATACATAAGCCACTTAATAAGGAAGGTAACTGTCTCTTTGAGAATGTGAACTGATAAAAAGGACCCCTCCCCAACATGCATTCATTGTGTCCCTAAGTGCACATGAAACTTCTTTTAAAATCTCAGTACTTGTTATAAATATGAAAGAAAACAGGAACAAATTTATAAGGCAATAATTTATTTGTAGGTTACAATGAATGTTGAACATGAAATCAACCTGTTAGTTGAAGAAATTCGGCGGCTGGGGACCAAAAGTAAGTATGACGAAATGGCTGTAGAAGGAATATAAAATTAATAGACTCCAAATGTGGTAGAATATAACTGACATAATTTTCAATATATATTGGTCTAATATTTCCGGAAGGCACCGTTCTGGGAAAACTCTGCAATGTAGGAAAACCTGCAGAGAAAACACCATTTTGAAAAGTAAGATATAAAGATACAAGATTTTGTTCTTAAAACATGGAGTAGACTGGATAAAAATCAATAGAGTTCAGTAAACTTCTGGCAACAGTTCAAACATTAAAGGAAGTGGTTAAGGCTTTTACTTCAAGCAAGTTTGTTACAGAATATAAAGTATTGTTTATGCGCAATCAAGTTGATGTCAATTCTTAGTGACTATATCTTCTCCTGTTCCCAATCAGGTTCTTTTGGTCTTTCAGTGGTGCATTTATGACCACTTTAAGCCATCCTCTTTCTGTCTTTATTTCTATCTTTCCCAATATTATAGACTTCTCTAGAGAGCTATGTCTTCACATAATGTATCTAAGTGGGATAATTTGAAACCCATGAGAAGCCTGAGTTGATTCGTTTGATGATCAGTTTGTTCTTAGCTATTCAAATCCAGAGGACTTCTCCAACACCAACAGGATATAAATATTGATTAGTAAATAGATAATAACAGCATGGGAACCCCTAGACTATTTAAGCCAACAGCATGCATCTCTAGTTCTAATAGCATTATACAGAATAACGAGACTGACAACTTTCTTTCAAGGGCCCCCTGTGCTTCTGAAAACTGGTGCCAAGTTTCATAGCTACTAATGCAAGCTTGTGACATAAAACAATCATTTAATGGAAAACAACAATCCCTTCTGAAGGTATGCCTACTCGCTTGTGGAAGCTTGGCAACAGTGAGACATGATGTCTAGGTTGAATTATCATGTTATATTTGTTTACTCATTGTATATTAATTAGGTCACAATTTATGTAACAGACCAAAACTATATTTGATTCCCAGTTAAGTCACTAGAATTTTTTCATAATTTTCCTGCTTTTAAAATAAAACTGAATTCTTATGTGCATGTTGGTTCCAGTTTAAATTGGTAGTGTAAGTTTAGGTTTTAATCAACAGCCTAAGTAGCGGTTTGTAAATTCACTATACTAGTGTGCCTTTTTGGAAAGGGCATTTAAATGCAATCTTATTTTTTTCCTCATTGACTTTTAATTTCAGGTGATATTGATGTTCATTAATCACAATAGGTTAAAAAATAAGGGTTATTTTTGTTGCTTTTAGCTTAGTATAGCATGCAAATTGCGATTTATAAAATATGTTTATAAATTAACATGTAGGCAAACCCATCTAATTGTGCTTTATTCAACCATGGCTAATATGAAGCCAGTCAGTATTAATCATGACTACCTTGAGTTACTTTCAGCCTAAAGGATACCAGATTTTCATATGATTATTATTCAGTATATAGTCACAAAGCAGTTTTCAGTAATTAAAAATGTAAAAATGGAGGATTAAGAAATGTTAAAATGTGTTTTTCTTGATACTTTCTTCAGCAGTGTCAGCAAATCTAAAATAATGAGATTACTCACTTGATATAGTTTACAATTTGATCTGATGGATTTAGATTTAATAATTTTTACTGATTTGTGCCTCCGAGTGCATGTTTTGTTTAGAAGTTAACGTAGTGGTTGTATTTTCACATTTACATTGTGATGAATTTGGCTACGGATACAATAACCTTATTAAATCAAATTAGAAACCTTGACAATCTCCAGGTCCAAGGACTTATTGGGAGCTAGAATGTTAATATGTCATTTTATCCTCGTGCTTTCTTTTGTCCAGATCCTGATGGGACATTGAGTGTGAAGTTTGGAGTACTGTTTGCGGATGAGAAATGTGCCAACCTTTTTGAGGCTTTAGTGGGAACCCTGAAAGCTGCAAAACGACGAAAGATACTTAGTTATCCTGGTGAACTTCTTTTGCAAGGAGTTCATGACAATGTTGATATCTTGTTATTGCAGGATTAGTTGCTTTCCTAACAAATGGCATTTTCATTAAGTATATGTAACTCAGATCAAGGTGCATTTGATTGAAAGCGTATCTTCCTGTTTATCTTTATAGAATTATATATAAAAATTCTTTGAAGGCCTTTTAACAAATTCTTTTCTGAAACTCTTGCCACATAGGTTGTTGGGCTTTTTTGGGGTGGGTGGAATTTGGGAATTACATTCTCACTTGTCTGAAATGTTGTTAAACTTTGAGAATTCCTTAAAAATTAGCAATATTAACAACCTATGAACCCTGCTACAAACTTCCAAAGATGAGTTTGTGGGGATTCGGTGATTTCTCTGCAAGAATGAAAATTATTCTGGCCAAATGCAGCATTCAAGCTGGTAGTTTCATCTGAAACTGAATATTTGATATGGTCTTTATACAATGCTTGAAACATAGATTTCTCATGTGACACTTTCTGAACTGTGATACTTCAGAGGAACTGTGTAAAGTTATAAAAGCAATGGCAGACAGAGGAATTATTTTGCATTTTTAGTGTATTCTCATTAATGAAGGAGATAATGTTATGGAAATCATTTCAAAGAAAAAAATAATGTTAAGAAAAATGTGTCATTAGCATGTTATTTTTCACTTAGTTGGTTACAAAGTGACCAAGGCAAAGTGTTTTGTCTTTTATTGTTACAAACATTTCTCCAGCAATCGGCAAATCAGACATAAATTAAATTCTGAGGAAATACTCAAAAAGATATTTTGATATTTTCTTTGGCAATATTTCATTGCTAAATGGGAGTCTTGCTGTTTGTCCATCCAGTTTCACCTCCCACAAATTTGAGAATCTCAAAAGACCATTTGTGTCTAACTCCTATAATATTCCTTTTCTCAGGGTGAAGTTAGAAAGAGAAGTGGGAGGACAGTCCTTCTATTCCTCAGATTCTAGTTTCTCTATAAGGTTCATTACTTGATGATGATGCCCTTCTGGGGAATGGGTGTACCTTAAACAAACTGTGTACATCACTTCAGAAAGCATTAAATATTATCCAAACTACTGTTAAGGCAAGTTCATTCCTTTTCTATTTGGTTTGAAAAAAAAAATTGAACAGGATGTTTGAAATGCTCATCTGAACCTTTTCTGGCAGGCATCAGGGACTGAACACTTGAAAGATAGATTATGACATAAAAAGAGAAGAACAGGAAGATTGCCTCATAGAGGACATGAACATGCAAAGTTGGTAGAATTGTACAAATCTATCTCACAGAGGTCCATTCTTTTAGTTTTTTACAAGATGATTGAAGTGCACTTTTCATTACTATAATTCATCTAGGAAACTAGAAAATCACCAATTCTTTTTCCCACCCCTCTCCACTCCTACCCAAAATACTTGAGAATTAAATGGCAACAATGGTGTCATAAAACATTTTGTCTTTTAGCGCTTCTTATTCTATGCATTGTATTCTATTCTTTGCATGATCCTTTTGTGTCTAATTGATTCAGTGGCTAGCTAGTCTTCCTTGGAAGTCCCTAAGGGGATTCAAAGTAAAATACTTCATCAATAAATAAAAATCTGGGAGTTATTTTTAGCCATTTCATTCCGTGAAAAATATGCCTTTAATTAAATAAACATTTCATGTACACTGGGAAAATTTGGTCTCAAAAATACATATTTTTGGTATTTACAATAAAATATTTCCAATTCTCGCTGGTGTGGTTTGTTTCTTGAAGTCCAGAGTAGCTCACCTGAGCACTGGAATTCTTATTTTGTAAGGATTCTTTTTGCCAATTCTGTACACACTTGTATTAACATCATCAAAATTGAAGCATTCAAGAAAAAGAAAACAGAGTTTGTTACGGTGATGGTGAAGCATGGGAAAGCAATGGTACTTAATAAGAAATTTTGCTTTGATGCTTATGAAGGAATTTGGTACAGTATTTTCATCTCTGGAATGATTTACATATTTGTTTAATGCATTCTATGTTAGTGATCTTATTAAACTTATGATTCAAGATTAAGGACATTAGTTACCATGAAAGAGAAGCAATTAAAGCTTTCAATATGTCTTAAAATAGCTGGAAACTTTTTGGAAGTTTACAGTGTGAATTCTGGATAAATAAAGCCGATAAACAAGCAGTGCATCAGAACAAATATTAGCGTCTGATTTCAAAACAAGATAATTTCCTATGGAAACTCAAGTCTTTGAGTTGACACCTGGCTGACTAAAATGCTAGAGGTTTAAAGATTAAAGATTTTTTATTAAAGTTTATGTTCAAAGGACACACTTCTAAAATTTTAAGATCTTATCATTTCTCATTCTTTAAAATAATTGTACAGTATATACGTTTTCTTATGATTTATGGTGATTGCAATTTTACTTTAGAAAACAGAGGAAAAAAACCCAAATGAACAAAATTCTATAAATTTAATTATGGATTAATGTGAAACATGAATTGAACCACAGCACTGCTGTATATTACTTGAGAGGTTTATAATGTAGGAGCTCAAATATTGGTTTAGTGTAGGGAAGACCCAGATTCTATCCTTAGTCAAGGAAGTTTACTGGGATACATAATGTGATTTTCTCTGAGCCCAACACACTTCAAAGAGCAGTTGTTTTGTGGAAAAATGGGAGTATTGTTGTGCTGCCTTGAGGGCCTGACACAAATGTTGGATATAATTCTAACAAACAAACAGCTATTTAGACTTAAGAACCAAATATAATAATCTGTAACAATATAAATTTAGACAGTCATTAACTGGCACACACATTCAAGAAAGCTTTCAACATCAGAGGTGGTATTCAGCAGGTTCTGACCAGTTCTGGAGAACCAGTAGTGTAAATTTTGAGTGGTTCAGAGAACTGGCAAATACCACCTCTGACTGGAGATCTTATAGTATCCTTCCCCTGCCACACCCACCAAGCCATGCTCACAGAACTGGTAGTAAAAAAAATTGAATCCCACTACTGTTCAATACGTACCGTAGTATGAGCTGGCTAGGGTATTTTACTTCTAATAACTATTATATATGGTATATAGGTACACTAGGTTACATTCAAACCAATATTCTGGGTTGCAGTCACCAAATGATAAACCTGCCTGCATATAGAACCCTGCTTTCCTAATCAGAACATCTTCTGAGTGAGACATACTGTGACTTTCTCTTTCCAGTTTTATGCACTGACTACTAGGAGGCTGGAATCACGACATAATGAAGATCAGATAAGCTGAGCTAACTTTTAATTGAAAAGTGCCTTAGTCATTTCCTCAAATGATACAAATGCCCCTTTACCTTATTATTTATGCAATAGTAGATGTGAAGGAATCTCATCTATTGTAGGCAATGAAAGAACTTTATTTTACAATTACTGTACATTGTCATGCTGTGTATAAAGTCATGCTCTATGATGTTTCTTATAGATTTCCTTCCTTGATTCCTTCTCATAAAGCAGGCAGCATCATCTATTATACCTAAACAGAGTTAAACTGCTCAATATATTACATCAAAGCCTATCAGGTTTTCTATAAAGAACTGAAGAATCTCATTGAAATAGAAATAATTCAGTACTAGTGGTGTCATTAGTAAAGATATGTACAGGTAGACAATTTGAACCACAATTTCAGTCGTACGTTATGATGGTTGTAAGTTAAGGCAGCCATATGACTGCACCTAATTTTACAAGTCGTTTTGTGGTGATGCTTAAGTAAATCACGAGGTTATAAGTGTGAATCCATTCCGCTGGAAACCAGCCCCCCCCCCCCCCCCCAAAAAAAAAAAAACAATTGGAAACTGGCTAAAAACACTGCAAATTGCAATCCTGTGACTGCAGGATGCTTCAACCAGTTGTAAATGTGAGCCAGTTGCCAAATGTTCAAACTATGATCATGTGATCAAAGGGAGAGGAAGGTGGTGATATTTTACAACTGTCTGGAATTGCTTAGGGCCCGTAAAGCACCCTTTCCAAGATTGTCACAGCTCAACAGGCATTAAATGACTGGTTGTAAGTCAAGGATTATCTGTACAGATGGTAGGTAAAAACATTTCCAAAGTGAGCCTATTCACATTTTTAACATTTGCATTATTAGACAATTAAGCTAATATAACATACTGGAAAGGAGGTTAGCCCTTGGTCCCCATCTTGATCCAAAATACAGACTGCCCTCTTTTCTCCACTTGCAAATAACAGCAACGTTTCTGATTAAATTAATAAGGTAGTATAGTCAAAGTTACTTAACTTTTTAATAAATCTGGATGAATTTACAGCCCAATTTTTATCAATCACAGCTTATCAAACTAAGCAAAACTGGCTGGGTTTACAACTTAAACCAAAATTACAACTTGTGTGGAAATCCATTCTCATCTAGTTGTCTAAGGAGATTCTCAGTCATCCAGGTCATGGTTGTCTCAAAAGTGCTTTTTCAAGAGGCAACTGGACTTCCTTGTTTCTCTTTGGACGTTTTGCTTCTAAGGAATATATGAAGACATTTTGCTTTGAAGGAATATCTGAAAAGCTCAGGAGGATCGTCAGCCAACATATGTACACACTTTAAATTCAAAAACACAGAGAAGCTTGTCCACCACCCCAAGGATAAAACACCAAAACACAAACTGAGCAACGTGGTATATGCAGTACAATGCAGTGAGACTTGTGCAGATCTGTACATTGGGAAAACAAAACAACCACTTCATAAACACATGGCACAACAAACTCTTCAAGACAAGATTCAGCAGTCCATCTGCATTTAAAAGACAAAGGCCACTTTTTTGAAGACAGCAAATCCACATTTTGGACAGAGAGGACCATTGGTTTGAAAGGGTGTGTGTGTCAAAGAGGCCATCTATATCAAAATTGAGCAGCCCTCTCTCAAGAGAGGGGGAAGAGATACAATATCATCTATCTCCAGTTCCAAGAAGGCTCCATTTGCACTACTCACGTGACCCTGAGGACATAGATAAACCTCCAGTGGCCTCAACAACTCCCTAAAAGAATGCAAATGACTAGCTGTCTGCAGGGAATATAAATCCTTCTATTCCCCAGTATCCAGTCACAGCTGAAGAAGCTTCTTGGATGAGAAGCAAAATGTCTTCAAAGAAAAACTAGAAAGTCCAGTTCCTCTTGAAAAAGCACGTTTGGGACATTTTCATCTGATACTCTGAAAAATAATTCAGCAAATATTTCAGCAATGAGTTGGAAAACAAATCAAAGCCCAGAATTGCAACCAAGAGCTGTGTTTTCCAGGCAATTTTTAGCATTAAAATACCATAAGAAAAACTGACAATTTAAGGATTCTGGAGAAGTCTTGTCCACACAAACTACATATATCTGCCAGCATTGGCCCTCATCACACATGTAGAACAAAGTGATATGCTGCAAATGGGGCTGCTTCTGAAGCCTTATCAGAACCTGAAGTTGATAGAAAAGGAGGCTATTAATAGATGAGAGTAACAATGGACTTCCGGTTTGAGCTTCTTTGGTGACAGACTGAAACCTCGTCTCTCTGAGGCTTCGATCCATGCTCGTCGCTGGAGCGCCCCGAGCTGGCTGGTTTTGGGGCTAAGCCACCCCGTAGAGGTGGTGAAGAGGGGGGAGACTGCCTGCAGGGTTGAGGAGAGCCGCATCTCTCCTCCCCAGCTGGCCATTACTCCCTTTCCCGAAGGCGGTTGTAGCGGTGGTCAGAAATGGCCACCACAAAGAAGAACTCAACCGGAAAAGAATGTGCAGGAGGAAGATAACAGAAAATTTTGGTTGACCGGGTCAAACAGCAAAAGCAACAAATAAGGTACCCTGGAATTTAAACTTAACAACATTGTTCCCAAAGAAAATTTTGAAGCTGCGAAGGAGAGAGAGAAGGGAAAGGATTAGGTTTTTTTTCTTCCCTTCCTTATACTGATTGCTAAGAGACTTAAGCAAGAAATTGAAAAAAAATCTACTTTGACATTAATAGGCATCTAAGTTGAAAATAAAAGTCAAAGGGATAATAAAGATTTCTGGACATTTAAAAGTTTTTAAAAGCAGGAAAGGAGAAAAAAAAAGAATAAAAGGGTAGGATCTGGAAAAATGAGGAAACTGCCTGGAATTAAGGAATGGAACTGTAATTAAAAGGAACTTACAGTGAAATTTTAATAAGATTCCTCAAAGATACATTTTAATTGAAACTTGGTAACAAAATAATAGAACCCCAGGAAGAGAAAGTGGAAAAAAGAAGCAAGTAGAAACAGCCTTGGATTATTTGGATTATTTGGTGATTTTTGGTTTTTGCATCTAGATGACTAAAATTAACCGGGTGGTTGTTTAAAAGTTTTTAAAATGGTATCACTCTTAGAAGAACTGAAAACAAAACTTAAAAAATGGAAAGAAGATGCACAAGAAGGGAGAAGTTCTTTTGGCTTCATGTTTCAATTCTTAGAAATGGAGATCTGGAACTATGAGAAGCAACAAGAAACGCTTGCAGAACAAGAAGATTGGGACAAAGAAGAAGCCATCTTTAATGATCAAATAATTTTAAGTGGGAGAAAAAAAGAAAAGGGGGGGAAGAGAATGAAAGGTTTAAGACTAGAAAAAACAACCAAAAAGAAGAACAATTTGAAAAATAAGT